AAAAAAAAAAAAAAAAAAAAAAAAAAAAAAAAAAAAACATGCCCCGTGACCAACGAACGCGCTGCAGTCTTTTCCCATGAATCTCTGCAAATGGAATCCATTCCCTAGCGGCAAGAATGCAGATAACCGTCTCTGCTGCGACAACCAAAAACCTACTGCAGCTTAGAAGCAAAAGCTCCCAAGAAGAGCATAGCTGCAGCCAGCTCTCAGGACAAAGAAAGCACCACTGCTCAAGGTGGCAACATGAAGCCCAGCAGGAGCTGCCCTGGGTCACTTCAAAATATGACTCCTATTCCTATTCCCAGTGTTCCTGGCTAGAAACAACACATATGCGCTCGCTCTCTCTCTCTCTCTCTCTCTCTCTCTCTCTCTCTCTCTCTCTCTCTCTCTCCTATCCCCTCCCCGGACTACCTTTCTCCTCCCTCTACCCCCTTCTCTGCTTCTAGTCTATCCACTGCACTAAATACGAGACTGGGAAACACAAATACACTAGGTGTTAAGGGTAAACCTTCCCATGGGTAGGACTGTAAGAGAAGAAAGAGCTGATAGACTTGGTTTTCTTATAGCCTTGTGTGTCATCTCAATAATCTAGGAGGAGAAATGAGTGAGTGGGAGTGCTTTGACTTTGAGACAGTAACCAGGAGACCATGCAGTCAAAGGGGCCAGAAAAATACTGGCAGGCCTGCTGCTGAGTGGCCAAGACCAGGAGCTTTCAGAACCTGGCTGAACTAAAGAGTCAATGATGTGGTGGAAAGTGGTGGGATGGAATATAGTGAGGGCTAGATGAAACTGAGCTATCACAGTGGAGGTATTGGCAGGTGATGAGGCCGGACCTAAATTGTATGCTTCTTTAACAATACAAGATAACCTGTCTAGATGCAGGAGCAAGAACTATGAGAAAAGAATGGTATTATAATATGCCAAATGATACCAGATAAACAAACAAACAAAAACAAACCTTGTTAATCAAAGTGCCTGAATAAGGCTATGAGACAACTCTTCCTTTGTAATATGATGTATCTGGGGCCTAGTGTGTCTCTCAGTTGAAGAGAAGGGCCCACCTGAAACTTGGTGAGCAATGCAGTCAGAAAATTGTAACCCTGCTGAATTGCAATTGAACATGAAACTGATTTACTCACAGGAAATCTAAAACACTTACAGGCCATGATCCTTAACCTCTCCACTTTATATAACTTCCTTATTATCAAAGCATCTGATCTGGGACCAGTGATTGACCAAGAATCTTGTCAACACACTACTCCTTTCTCCTCACCCTGCACACCTAGCTCTTCCCTGAACTTCTCATGCCCCGAATACTACCACCAGCTGGAAAAAAGCAACTTGGCCCTTCATATTCCTCTCCTTTTTTTACAAGGCAGAAAAGTATGTCATTACCCACAAGAGTCAGCAGACCTCCCTGGGAGCACAGCAGATGTCCAGAGTATGCTGAGAACACTGCTAGTGACCCCTCAATGTCTTTCTGAGAGTCAACCTGGTGTTCAACAACTCCCAGCTTTCTGTTCCTGTTGTAATATACCAAACCCAGGGTAAAACATGTGAACGGTGAAGCCATGATCTCTTGGAGATCCTGGGCTTCAGCATCTTTCTAGAGCTATGATGTTCTATTGCTACCCAAATAACAGATGCAAACCTGTCCTCATAAAATATTCACCATCAATCCCATATGCCAGCCACTTTTTTCAAAGGAGCCTCCTTCACCCATGGTCAAAAGCAGCTGTGAAATGTTTCATCTACCAACCAACCAGGACTCTGACACTGCTGAAGATGCCTGTCAGGAGAGCACCACTGTCCTTGTTAAAATTGTACTTCCATGAGAGTTGTGGAATCATCCTTCAATCTCAGCCATTGTGAGGATGAGGAAGGAAAACTGCTACAATATCAATGCCAATAAGCTTCTGCTACATTCCTCAACCTTGGAGGGTCCTACACACACACACACACACACACACAGAGAGAGAGAGAGAGAGAGAGAGAGAAGGAGAGAGAGAGAGAGCACTTCAGGAAGAGGGAGCACTTCAGGAAGAGGGAGCATTAGGAAAGAAAGTTCTCCTGTCCATCAGTCTAGCTCCCCACTGAGTTCCCCCCACCCTGTGGCAGAGCTCGTACTCAAAGTTCTGACCAGTTCTGTGCAGAGAAGGAAAAAAGAAGCCCTAAACCTTCAGAGCACTGACCTTTATTCTGCAATTGTGAACTTTGTTGCTGTACAAAAGTCCTTTATTTCATAGAATATAGTAGTGTTTTGTTTAAAGTGCTTGCTGCACAAAATTAAAATTTTGCAAGCCTAGTACTCCCCAAACTAAAAAGAAAACAAAATCTACAAGGCGAAAATTGACACATCTTTGAGCCTTTACCTCATGAGAACCCAGATATATGGTAAGTGACAGAGCATACTCCGTAAGTGAACAGAAGCTTTGGAAATGGAGCCCCCATTTTTGACTTGCAAGCAAATTATACTCAGCCTCTCCACAGCACTCTTCATTTCTCCTCTTGCATATTTGGTCATACGGCAAGGTCACAGAAGACTTTGGATGCCACATCAATGGCAAAGGTTAAGCCTGAGAACAAAGGGAGAGCACTGAAGGGTGTTAAGCGATCTGAAGCATGACAAGGCCTGTGGTTCATGGAAGAATGGCAACCATACTGTAGGAAGAAAGGCTAGTGCTGGATTCTCAGTGACCACATTAGGGAGTTGGAATAGTTGTCTGGATCCGGGTACAGGGCAGGGGAATTGATGAAATTCAAGGACACAAGGAATTGAGTCAGTTAGAGTCAACATCCTGTGTACACACTGGAGCAACCCTGTAGAACTGATTTAAAGGGGAAAAAAAAAACAGTCTACCAAGCCACAAAGACAGGACTTGCCAGAGAAAGGCTGAGGAGAATGCGGGAAAGACTAGAGATGAGAATATATGTCTAAACTAGGAGTAGCAAGAACTACCACATACAAGACTTAAGGACCAGCTGCTAAGGCAGCTGAAGTGGTTTAAACAGGTGGAGCCTGAAGAGGCTCAAGCAGGCACAGGGTAACACCGCAAAGGGCACAAGATCTGATTACTGGTATTGTGTAGACCAGTTTCTCCAAGGGACCTCCTAACCCTACTTTGTAAAAGCCAGAGTTTTCCTTAGAAAACCCTGTTCTACTAGTATGGAAGAGACCCTGGCTTGTATCCCTAGCAAAGGAAGAAGATGGGAGGAAAGGAGGAGAGGAGAAAAGAGGAGAGGAAAGGAGAGGAGAGGAGAGGAGAGGAGAGGAGAGGAGAGGATAAGAGAAGAGGAACGGGGGGGGGGGGGATTGGAAAAGGAGGGGAGGGGGAAGGTGAGGAGAAAAGAGATAAGGAAAGGGAGGAGGGAATAGAGGGGTAGGAGAAGTGGGGAAGATAATGACAATACTAGTTGTGTGACAATGGTCCAGAAGGAAAACAAGGTGCAAAAGACCACCTGGTCCTTACTCCTTCTCGAGGCTCATTATGATGATAAGGAGCCATCCTCTCTGTCTATCTGTATGCAGAATATCCAGAGACATTGAAAATCCTGCATGCTAAGCGCTTCAGGGCCAACACTTCCACCTGCATGCTTTCCTAATGTGAGAGGCTCTCTGCACTGTTCTCTTCAGAACTTGGTTGAGTTAATATGGAGTTTGCATAAGCACTTGTCAAGAAATTACTAATATCTCCATAATATTTCCAAGACAGCATTTTCTACTCTGAATCCTGACCTCAGTAGGAACAGGAATTAATATTTGTTGGACTTTATTTAACTTAGCTGTTGAAATCTCTCCCTGCAAGCACTTGAGAGACTCAAATCACAGAATCAGCATCTGGGCTCTTTCTGTTTTCTTTTCCTGTCAGTGAAGCTGCCTAAGAAACTTCACAGGAAAGTCATGAGACATAAATGTCACCAGAGCTCTAATTGGGAGCTATGTCATTTCGTTAAAATAAGATTTCTTGGGGGCACTGCAATGTATAAAACAAAAGTGTACCCCTATGATACCAGAATCAATGCTCCTCCTCCATCATGTGTTCTTTTATCTTAGCAAATGGCATCACTGTTCCTTCAATTGCTGGGGTCCCAGATCCTAAAGGTAGCCATGAGCTTCTCCTGGTTACTCCTATCCATCCTTCTGTCCACAGCAGACTCCTCCAGAGCATTCTGCACCTAGCACATAGAAGAAGACACAAAGGTAGCTGCTCTAACAGCTCATGTTAAAGGCTCCACATCTCACCAG